TTTGTTAATTCAGTTCTACAAGTTTTTATCTCATGGATTATGAGGAAGAATCTAGTCGTGATAGTTTAACTCATGGTTAAAAGATAAATCGAAGAGGTCCATGCTTCTCTCTGCCTAGACAGCCCAGCTCCCACTGTTTTGACAAAGACCTTTATTTATTTGCTTCATATTTTCTGAGAGCTTTGGTTATGATAGCTTTGGTTATGATAGAAGTTGTTGGAGGGCTTTTCTTCCAAGGCAAACCTCCATTTAAAACTAACAAACTTGATAAAAACAGGATTCCATTTCGTCCATTCAATCCATAAAGAACCAAATGAGAGAGAATCCACGTAAAAAAAAAAACACCCAATGGATAAGCATATTCAGAAGTTGTAGAGGCAGAAACACTGCAGAATGTAACCTTCAGATAATAAGGCTCCAGTTCCTCAACAAATCATTAGTACGGCCTCATAATCCAGAGTCTCTTATCAACTGGATCATATACTCCATATATACTCCATAAAGAGTTCATCAGAACTAATATAATTGTAAAGGTGCAAACAAACACAATTGAAGTACAATTCATTATCCAAAACTCAAGCAACATTATTATCTTTTTTCCTTCACAATGTAACCAATTAACGCAAATGAAAGTACAACTCATTCTCCAAAACTTATGAGTACAACTTTAAACCAAGTTACAACTTCAAACAAAAAGTTAAAGTACATATTTAATTTCATTATTTTCTGCACCTCAATAAATGTGTTTCAGCCAGGTTACAAAACTCTGACCCTTTAGGTCATCTCCTCACTCAATAACACTGGTATATTCCAATCAAATTGAATTAATGCCGTTCGAGGAAAAGAATATAAAAATTGAATTAACTTTCGAGGAACAGAATGCCTTTCGAGGAAAAGAATATACAAATTGAATTAACTTTCGAGGAAAAGAATATATTGTCTATTAATTTCAAAATGGATAGCCGATTTTTAAAACATTGGTATATTCCAATCAAATTGAATTAATGCCTTTCGAGGAAAAGAATATAGTGTATATTAAAAAGGTACAATATTTTCATGGACTGGGTGTATCATTAGAATGCAATATTGCTCTTGCATATGTTAATGGTCTTATTATGGGGTTTGAACTTTGAAATACATTTTTCATTTTCTCATATTTAACTATCAAAAAGATTGTTTTTTTTGTCGTATTTAAATGAGAAACTGTATTATAGTTGTATCCCTTGAGGATCAGTCAATTTCCAATGATGGACCATCCTACATTATGGGATTTGGAAATTACTTTGGGGATATGGGTTCATTGTGATGTTCAAGAGCAATCTGTCTTAAATGTTCACATGTCATAAGCCAATGTGAACCACATACTGTAGATAGATTTTGTATGCGTGTTTTACTGTTTATATGTCGTATCTCATTAGCCAATGTGCGCCTGTGACAACAAAGAACTAGAGAGATTGTGATATCAAAAAATCGAATTGGATCACCAATTCCATCCTTGCGTACTAGTAAATTAAAGATGGAATTGGGATTGGGTTTCAGACAATCTGCTTGCATTTCACATTTCACAAAATAGGCATTCGAATAAACTCAATAACTACAAATCCCATTATAAAATTAAGAAAAAAAATATGTAGAATCTTAGAAAAAATCATTGAGCATATGAAAATTCATAGAACAAAGCCCAAAAAAACTCCAACAATCATACAAAATGGTGCAATTTCAACCTGCAAGACAATAAACAGGCATTCGAATAAGCTCAAAAACTACAAATCCTAGTATAAAATTAAGACAAAAAAAAATGAAGAATCTTAGAAAAAATCACAGCAAATGAAAATTTATACAACAATGCCAAAAAATAAAATCAAACTACAAACAAAATGGTGCAATTTCAACATGCAAGACAATTAATAGGCATTCGAATAAGCTCAATAACTACAAATCCCAGTATAAAATTAAGACAAAATAAATGAAGAATCTCAGAAAAAATCACAGTGCATATCAAAATTCATAGAACAAAGCCAAAAATATAAAAAAAATCCAACAATCATACAAAACGAAGCAATCTCAACATCCAAGACAATACATAGAAATTCAAATAAGCTCAAAAACTAAGTATAAAATTTAAAAAAAAAAGAAAGAATCTTAGCAAATCACATAGCATATGAAAATTCATAGAACAAAGCCAAAAAGAAGAAGACGAACACCTGGCGTTATTGCCTTGCCAAAACCGCAGTTTCAATCTCCAAAACCACAAAGCTCTTGCCAAAATCACAAAGCACGTTGTGTTATGAACTTTATCTCCAAAAACCTTTAATCCTCGTCAAACCGTAGTTTCAGTCTTCAAATTCGCCGAAACCTAGGTTCACTGAGCTCTGAAACAGATTCAATCTTTAAAACCGCCCAGTTCTAGGGCATCGAGATCATGAGTTCGGGATGAGAGAGAAGTTTGGGGAAGAAGTTTGGGGAAGGTAGAGAGAGAGGGCGGTTAGACAGAGAGAGAGAATGGGAGAGAGAGGGCATTAGACAGAGAGACAGAGAGAGAGAGGGCGGTTAAAAAGGGGGAGAGGGAAACAGAGATGGGTAGTTTTGGGGAAACTAGAGAGAGAATAAGGATGAGAGAGAGTTGTTTTGGCTGGTTAAGTAGAGAGAGAGATGAGAGTTTGTTTCGGCTGTTGGATAACTATACAGAGAGAGAGAGAGAGTTTGATTTAGCTTGTGGGTGAGTATCGAGAGAGTACGAGGGATACTATAAAATAATAAATTAGCAATGGAAGACTCAAAAAAAATGGTATTTTGTTAAATAAAAATGGTTTGACTATTTGCCTGGGGATACATACAAAAATAAATAATGTGTTGGGATTTAGGTATCAACACAAAAAGTGTTGGGGGTATTATAAATACAAAGATGAAATTGGGAGTATATGTCATTTTTCTTAAAATCATATTCACAATAAATTTTTACATCACACATTAAAAAAGGTGATTCTTTATTTTTCAAAATTTGATTGTTAGTTTGTGAGAAAAAATGTTTTTGTGAAAGAACCAAGCATATAGATGTTGATTGTCACTTTGTAAAAGAAAATATTTAATAAAAATTTATTAGTACTCATTATGTTGGAAGTGAATACCAACTTGCAGACATGTGTACCAAAGCTACTGCAAAGACAAATCCATCATATACTATCTAAGTTGAACACCGTAGATATCTATATACCAACTTGAGAGTGAACGTTGAAACTTATAGCAGCAAAATATTAAGTTTTCTATTTGCAAATTATAAGATATCAAGTTTTTTATATTGTGGGATTACAATTAGTGAGATTTGTTTACTAATTAACAAGAATTATAATTCTATAAATCTCTAGTAAACCAGAGTAATCTTTATAAATGAGATACTGGTTTACCCTCTATAGAAGTAAGCACACCATTACCAAACCACATATATGCCTTGTTGATCTTTCAGTTATTCTCTTGTCATATTTCTCTTATTCAAATTCTACACTCTTAATATAGTTTCTGTCAAAACATTTGCTAGTTTCTCTTCTACAACTTGAAATTTTATGTAGTTTCCCTCAAAAAAATTTGAGCTAGTTTCTCATTCTAAAACTTAAAATTTGAGTTAGACTCTCTTTACAAATTTTGAAATAGTCTATCTCTAAAACTTTGAAATTGATATAGCTTCTCTCTCCAAAAATTTTAGATAGTTTCTCCATCTAAAAATGTTAGTGCAGTTGGTCTCTCTAAATTTTTTGAGATAGTTTTTTTGTCTAAAAGTTGAAATTTGAAATGGCTTCTTTCTCTAAAACTTTTGAGATACTTTCTCACTCTAGAACTTATAAATTGAAATAGTTTCTTTCTTTAAAAATTTTAAGATAGTTTAACTCTCTAGAAAATTTGAGATAATTTTTCTCTCTAAAAATTTTAAATTTGAGAGCTTCTTTCTCTAAAAACTTTGAGATAATTTCTCTCTCTAAATAGTTTAATGTAGTTTCTCTCTCTAAACATTTTGTGATAGCTTCTCTCTCTAAAACTTGAAATTTAATATTGTTTCTCTCTTTAAAATTTTGAAATATTTACTCTCTCTAAAATTTAAAAATTCAGGTATTAAAAACTTTAAGATACTTTCTGTCTATTAAAATTTTGAATAGATTCTCTTTTTAAAAATTTACAATTTGATATAGCTTCTCTCTATAAAAACTTTGAGTCTCTCTCTAAGAATTAAAATATAGTTTCTCTCTAAAGCTTTTGAGGTAGTTTCTTTTTCTAAAACTTGTAATTTTAAATAGTTTCTCTCTAAAAATGTTTCGGGAAAATTACAAAAAACCCCAAGACAACACTTTCTATGCAATTTACCCCTAACCTAATGTTTTCTCTTACTTTTTGCCGACAACAAACTTTCTATGTAAATACCCCCAAGAGAAAAAGTTCATTTTTTTAGATGGAAATGTCTCGTACACAAACATCATTGTGGCCAGATTTGACATTGACTTATGGACCCCAGCACATTGCCGGAGAATACCATCACATTTTCAGAGCGCATGAGTAGCGAACCGCCCTAAGACAACTATCGGACCGAAACTGAATATTGTCGGACCGCCCTTTACGTAGTATTGGAGTCTTGGAATCTAGTAACATCTACGGCCTAACAGCCCTGCAACTGCTTGACCGCACTTTACACAGTGCCGGAGGCCTATTGTCGAACCGCACTTTACACAGTGCCGGAGCCTTATTGTCGAATCGCACTTTACACAGTACCGGAGCCCTACTGTCGGACCGCATTTTACACAGTGCCAAAGCCCTACTGCCGGACCGCACTTTACATGGTACCGCAGCCCTACTGCCAGACCGCATTTTACATAGTGCCGAAGCCCTACTATTGGACCGCGCTTTACACAGTGTTAGAGCCCTAGTACTGAACCGTACTTTATACAGTACCGGAGCCCTACTGTCGGACTGCACTTTACACAGTGCCAAAGCACTACTACCGGACCTCACTTACACAATGCCGGAGCCCCTATTTTGGTGGGATAGAGATGCCGGACCGCACTTACACATTGCCGGAGCCCCTATTTTGGTAGGATAGAGAAGAGAGAAGTGTGGGTAAGGTAAAAGTAAGGGAGGGTAGTTTAAGTATTTTTTTATTTTTTATTTGGTTGAAGGGTATTTGCATAGAACATATATTTTTGGAGAAAAAAGTGAGAGAAAAAGTTAGGTTGGAGATAATTTTTTTAAAATTTTGAGACACTCTCTCTCTAAAACTTAAAAATTGAGATAGTTTTTCTCTAAAAATTTTGAGATAGTTTCTCTCTAAAAAATTTTGAGATACTTTCTCTCTCTAAAAATTAGAATTTGAGATAGCTTCCTTCTCTAAAAACTTTGAGATAGTCTCTCTCTAAAAATTTGAATTTGAGAGTCTCCCTAAAATTTTTAAGATAGTTTCTCTCTAAAATTTGAAAATAGATATAATTTCTCTTTCTAAAAATTTTAAAATAATTTCTTTTTCTAAAACTTAAAATTTGAAATAGTTTCTCTTTCTAAAAATTTGGAGATAGTTTCTCTCTCTAAAATATTTAAGTTAGTTTCTCTTTCTAAATTTTGAGATAATTTCTCTCTGAAATTTAAATTATGTGATAGTTTAATTCAGAGTTTGATAGTAAAATAAACATGCCTAATTTTCTACTCACCTTATGAGATAGGGAGTTCTTTTCGTATGAAAAGATATTGTAAATATTTTTCGCATAGAATTTCAAGGCCACAATTGCATGATAATGATAGAAAAATAGACATCGCAAGAAATTTAGTACATAAGTTATATATTAGAATGGTTAATTTTTTTTATAAGATGCAAGGTTTGGCTTATGTATATTAATCTGAATACAATACTAAGAATAGGTAGCCAAATCGTAGTCAGCAAATTACCTAACAGCAATTAACCCTACTGGCAACATAATCAGTATTAATTTGAATTTGGTATGATGGAGTAATAAAAAAGACCAAATTTGACTCAGTGCTGGGCAAAACTTTCAAAGAAAATATGACACATGAACTTGAGTATATATGTGTATCTATGTTACATGGACATGTATGTTAGACGTGGATACACAAATCAAATGCACCAATAAAAAATTCGCCATTTAGACCTGACATATTCATATATCATTTTGGTGGAATTGGCACAAAGGACTTTATTGCCAAAATATCAATAAAACAAAGTTAGGGTGAATTGCCTAATTTTAATTTTTTAAGGCGTGCAGTTCGTATCGAGCCGAGGATCTAAACAATCAAAGCAACGCGAACCTTTGAATAGCGTCGAGAAATGCGATTGCAATATTGAAAACTTTTGTGATAGCCTTAAAATATGTATTCATTTTTAATTTTAAAATTTAAAGTTTTAAAAATAGTGTATATCGAGCAAATCTATGAAAGCTTGAAAATTTTGAAAATTAACGGCCCAAAATGTGTTACAAGATGTATTATTTCTAAAAATTAAAATCCATTTTTTTCTCATGCCCATGCATCTTGATGCCGAGATGACCAATTTGAGGATACTTGAGCATCAAAACAACTTTTTCTAGTGAAATTTTTGATGGGGGCTTTAATTTGATTGTTTAGAGCGTTGGCACTATATAAATTTTTCCCTTTTTTAAATATTATTGAACAATTAAACTTGCCTGGCCTACCTAAGATTTGAAAAGTAATAGGGCAAACTCTTCGTGTTGCGATCTGATGGGAAATTTGGAGGAGAAAGAGAAATAGAAGTACTTTTGAAAGTACTTCCATGGATAAGGTGAGAATCATTCGTAAAATGCAGCATCTAGTTTGGAGCTAGTTTTCGGTGACGAAGGAAGGTTGGAGAGTTTTCGGAAGTTGACATTGCTTTGACATTGGGGGATCTTGTTACACTGGGAACCATGAATGTAAGACAACAAAGCAGGCGGCAATCTCCCACTTTGGGTTGTTACAAATAAATTTTTATAGTAGCTAGCTTGGAAACCTGGGCCCTTTGATATTGGAGAAGTCTGAGAGACTCAAAAGATGTAATTATGAGTTAATTACATAGGGATAGAAGTAGGGAAAATACGGTAAGCTCATCTTATATGCGAATATTACAATTAAAGTTGGTCAACCCGATTTTTTTTGACAAAATTATCTTTTGGTCTGAGGATGCCATCCTCGGACTGCATTTTAATTATTTGTTTCATTGGTAGGGCAGTGCTCGAAGGTTTGGGGCACTTCCCAAGTGGTCCGAGGTTTAAATCCTCAGACTGCCCTAGCAGTTTATTTATTTATAGTCTAGAGAGCGATCCGAGGTAGTGGTTCAAGGATGAGGACCTCGGACTGTCTTGGCAGTATATTTTTTATAGTCCAAAGAAAAGTCCGAGGTCCCAATCATCAGACCGAAATTTTAAAAGAAATAGCCGTCCGAGGATGGGGACTTCTGACTGCCTTAGCAATTCACATCTTTTAAGTCTAGAAAGCGATATAAGATCCCCATCCTTGGATCGAAATGCTAAAAGAAATAGTGGTTCAAGGATGGAAAACTCGGACCGTCCTGACAGTTTATTTTTTAAAGAAAGAAGAAGCAATCAGAGGATTTAAACCTCGGACTTCATGGGAAGTGCCCCAAACCTTCGAGCACCGCCCTACCAATGGAAAAAAAATT